AGTTACTGGCACATTGTACTTAAAAAACCTTGGCCCAGGTTTCCTACTTTAAAATAACTTAGTTATGCATGATTTCTTGAAACAGATATAAAACAAAAAAGATTTAACGATTTTGGATTTAAAACAGCCTTAGCTGAAGAGTCTTTTTTTCAAGAATTCAGTACATTTATTAGAGAATCAAATATTCAACTTCACCAATACTTGCAGCTCTATAATTTTGTTAAAAACAAAATCAGGTATATTATCATCCATCAACAACAGATTGAGAGTTTATTCAACAAATGTGACTTAAAAACTCATCCAAACATGACTAATAATACTCAACATTCCAGAATGCATCTTTCTGTAGCCAGAATAAAGGAATATTAATTGGATCATAATCAACTAAAAGATATTCGAAGTGAAAATAGAATTAATTACCAACAAACTTCTCTTCAGTCAGATAGACAAGATGCTAATGATCTTTTTAAAGAATTATTTATGTGCTGCTAGTTGTAATTTTGTGAAATTCAAAAAAAAAAAAGTTATATTTTTTATAATGTAATTAATTTAATATAAACATAAATACTTAGAGTCGATATTTCTACAGTCTTCTGCTAGTGTATCTATGTAAGTTTAATCAAAATCGAGTCAGTTACAATATTAAGTAAGTGAACTCAAATAAAATTCAAAAACCCTAAATAGTTTACTAAAGTATTGGGTTGTGTTAAGGCATTTTACACTCATACTAAGTTTTTTTTTTATTCTAACAGTGATAGTCTAAAAGTTTTTGTTACATATAGATCTTGAAATTTTATTTGATAAATAACAGGTGATATTCTGTATACAATTCTATTGGCTAAATAGTATGTAAAAATCTGTAGTAATGATTTTTACTATTATACATGACATGCAAATTTTGAATCTGTGTCTAGTTTGGATCATGAAACAACATCTAACTAAATGTCATGTAACAATAATATATTGGATTTTATTTAACCAATCAGCATCCACCTATTTAAAAAATAAGTATTTCGCATTCATTACAAGATTATAAAACTATTACTTGTTAAAGAATATTATATCTCATATATTTAATTAAAATTTTTGATATTTAACAATTTAATAATAAGCTCACTAAAATTTATTAGTGTTTAGTATAAAAATATATTAATTATTCTATATGAAATAAAAAGATATTTACTATAAAAATCATTAATTCATTCACAATTCATTCATTATAAATATTTATTATGACTTATACAAAGTCACTGCACAAGACATGTTAAATATATACTGTTTACTTTGCGAGATATAATTTAATATTCAAAACTCTATTATCCAAGCATATTAATAAAAAAATAGTCAATGAATTCTTGTGATTACAACAAAATTAAACATTAAATACAGTATTACATATTGATATTAAAATTAGGTTTATTTATTATTTCCACATATAGTACAATAAATCTAAATATATTTGGAATTTGTATCAAATTCCAAATCTACTGCATTCTAAATTATGATATCTGCACCCATATATAGCTTTTAATGCATTATACTAAAAAGTAATAGATGGTAATAAATAAATATTCGTGATTGATAACAAATGATCTAAATTTTAAGATTGTAAATTGCATTAACTAAATAAGGATTAGTAAGTAATAATGGCAAAATTGTGAATAAGAATCAAAAGCGAATTAAATTGATATAAAATATGTGGCAGTACACAGAACTTAGAAAGTTATATATGCCAGATATAAGAAAAAAAATATATTTGGTTAGCGATTGTGATAATAAAAAAAAAATAATGAAATTGAGAATGAAAATACTTACTCTAGTATAATATATGTGTTTCAAGAGATGGCTGTGTTCTATTCAAAATAATAAATTTAAAATAGATTTCATTATATTTGTCATAGAATTTAAATTGATTCAGAATTTTAAGGTTAGGGTTGAAATTTTTAGTATAATTATTTTCATTCTATTCTAAGTGAATTTTAAACCTGCTATAATTCTATTCTTACACACAACAGATCTAACAATAAGATATAGCATTATATCATAAAAGCTACTCAAATTGCTAATTAAAAATCGAACTATAAAAAAGCAATAATTTGTTTTTGAAAATTAAACAAATTCAAATCATTTACCTCGTAAATAAATTGTCCTATCTCAAATTATTAAATAGCACTATTAAGTAAAATATAAATTAAAATAGTTAACATGGAATCAATTTTAAATAACATTTTATACTCAAAAAATTTAAATATAAAGATTGTACCCACTATTGAACCTATTATCAAAAATATGTTGCCTTTAAATTACAAGTATTTTATAGATTCCTTTAAACAAATTCTACTACATGAATTTTTAGGTACATATGAAAATCTATTTAAAGCCAATTTTCGCATAAGTATTACTAATGCTGAAGATTCAAAAGTATGGCTTCAGAAATTTATGGATTTACATAAAGTAACGATGTGAAAAACACAAGGACATACTATTAAAGGCATTCATTATATTCTTTTAAAGTAGTTTTACTGTATGCACAGTCATGCTATAAAGTTAAAACAAGGAAGTCTACAAATTGAAAATTCTGAAACCAGTACAAAAAGTACACGAAATCGTGATACTAATTGTCCTACAAAAACTAAAAATTCAAATTCTGAAAAATACAGACCATTATTCATGTATTGTTTCTTTAAACATTTATTACAACTATCCCCTTAAATCAAGCCATGCTATGAGTTTTTGTCCAGTTTCTAATAAAACCAAAAATGTACTCTTTGAGCTTTTTGATGTCAGGCATAATCCTAGTAGTGCCTTTCATACACACTGGGAACAGATACAGTTAAAATACAAAAATAATGAGAAAATTTTGGCTGACAAAGTGGTAGTTCCACACAGAAATGACATATATTATCTTCATCAAAAGTATCGTGAACTACGTGTAGGTAATCAAAATAGCATAGGTATGTTTAAGAAAAGACATTGCAGATTTTTTCTTTCTTTTTTATTTTTTTATTTTTTATTTTTTTTTTATTTTTATTTTTACACATCTATGCACATAATTCTAATTTCGAAAATAGTATTTTGTCTATTATTAGGTATGTTTAATCAGTTAGAAAAAGAAGTTATAGAATTTAATAATAATAATAAAGGAAATGCATGGATGCAACTATATGTTGCTTCAGAAAAAGACAAACCCAGACAGCCATTATTTCTCGTCATTGTTACAAATCTTATGAAATGTTGCTACACATTAAAAGAAGCGGGTGAGTTAGTTTATATGGACATGATAGCTGGGCTTGATATTCTTAATACTCCTCTAACAATTTTCTTGACAAGTATATCTGTTGGTGGTCTATCTCTTGTAGTAATCATTATATCAGATAAGACAGCAGATACATTGTCAAAAGCATTAGATATATTGAAGTGCATAATTCAACCCATGGTATTCAGTGATCATGGATCTCTAATTGGGCTACAAATAATAATAACAGATGATTGTAAGGCAGAAAAAATTGCATTGCAAAATACTTGGAAATATACAACCTTGTTTTTATGTGTCTTTTATTTTTTGTAAGCAATGTAGAGGTGGCTTTGGAATGGCAATCATAATATCCATAAAAATGACTGTGCAATACTAATTGAGCTTGTAAAAAAAATAGTTTTTTCAAGATCAGAGGTAGCACTTAATCAAGCATACATAGAATTAACCAATAATCAAACCTATTTAAAATATCCTAACTTCCAAAATCATTTTAAAATTTTTTGGAGTCGTCATTCCGAGTGGGCTATTGCATTTCGCCATAGGCTACCAATTCAGAATAATAATACCAACAATTATGCAGAAGCTGGCATTAGAGTTTTGAAAGATATTATTTTTAGTCAGGTAAAAGCATATAATTTCATGCAGATTTTTCAATTTATCGTAAACACAATGGATCTTTATTATATCTGTAGATTATTAGCTGTAGCTCATAACAAATTAGATAGCTTTAAAGCACTTCACTTTTGACTTACAGGATGGCAAATTGGAATAAAGGATAATATCGAAGTTGTAGATCTTGATTCAATGATATTTAGACATAAGAGTAGTAAAGATCAGAATATGTGGTATTGTATTAACATGAGACTTGGAACTTGCGAATGTAATTTAACAGGAGGGCCATGTAAACACCAAGCTTCTGTAGCAAAGCACTTTCACATATGTGGATTAAATCAGATACCCACAATGTCTGCAAGTAAATAATATCATTATGCATATTTAGCACTAGGTGAAAAATGCATGCCACTTAGTTTTTATGCAAATCTTCATCAGGAACAGATTGAAAAAGATGAACATGCATGTTTAATAGAAAATAAAGAGTTAACATTCAATAATGCCACTATAATAAATAATAATAATAAAGAAAACATAGCTTCACCTGGATCTTCATCTTATGCAACTTCCAAAAATACTGATGATAATAATAGTGCTTATAGTAATGATAATGTTAACAATAATAATATTGATAGCGATGACAGTACTAGTAGTAATGATAATAATAATATTGATAATGATGACAGTACTAACAGTACTAGTAATAATGACAATAATAATGTTGACAGTGATGATAGTACTAGTAGTGATGATAATAATGATGATAGTGATGGAGAACGTGATAATAGTAATAACAATAATATAAGCAAACTTTGTTGGTTCTATAATGATCTAGAAGATCTTCTAAAGCAAAATGTTCCTGAATTGAATAATAGTGTTCAACGATTTGTAAAATTATATAAAAAACATCAGTCTAAAAAAGATACTTATGTTCTTCCATCTGTAGTATCCTTTTTTCAAACCTGTAATAGAGATAGTGTTTCGGGCGAAATTATTTTCCAAATCCGAAATATTTCGCCCAGAAGAATTTTAATTTCGCCCTATAAATCCGAAACCCTCCGAAATTAGTTTCGCCCAATTTGATCTGCAAATGATCTGCAAATTCGGGTTTCGCCCGAAACACTAAATAGAGATGCAGGTCAGATTATGGGTAGTAACCGTCAGCCTGGTGGAAAAAGAATACGAGTTCAAGTCACTGCTACTTCATGACATAGAGAAGGTTCAAAGCGTGGAATCAAGAAGATACGTCAAGGAAGACCAAAGAAAAGATCGTAAAGTAATGATGCTAAAACACAAGAATTTGACCGCTTTAATATGCCAACATGAAAAAGACACGATAAGAAAAGCCCACATAACTTAAGCAAGGCTTTATCAGAGAATCGACCTAATGGTGTAAAATAAAATAGTTTTTTTTTAAAAATGCATTTTTTCGATATATAAATTATATATAATAAAATCTATCGGTTTTATCTTTATTTTATGCATGATATTGTTACACAACATTCGGTTGGATATTGTTTCATGATCCAAACCGGGAACAGATTCAAAATTCGCCATCGCAATAGCGAGTAAGTTCTGTAACTGAATTTTTTACAAATGCATAATACTAATACAAACTAACTATTCCTTATCCAATGCGACATCGCAATAGCTAGTAAGTTCTGTAACTGAATTTTTTACAGTGAATTACGATACAAATGCATAATACTAATACAAACTAACATAACCTTATCCACATACTATGTCACTGCAATAGTATGTAAGTTTTCTGACAGTGATTACGATACAAGCGCATTATACTAATACAAACTATCTACACACCATGTTATCGTAATAGCGAGTAAGTTCTGATCTGAAATTTTTTTTATTCCAATAATAATAATCATCATCACTAATTAAATACGTTAACTATGATAGACGGTAACATAAGTTATTACTGAATTGTAGTTCTCAATGCATGAATACGCATATTCAATATTATTCAATATTTAAGATTTAAAAAGGAATCCCATAATTGGACAAGTGGCAATAACTATATTGATGAATTTATTAAACAAACTCAGCTTAATGTGAAGAAATTTAAAGACATCATCGAATGGATACCTTTTTATAAATTTACAAATATCAAGTATCTTGCTAAAGGAGGCTTTGGCACTGTTTTCAAAGCGGTCTGGATTGACGGATATATTAGGGGATTTGATTCAAAGAAGAATGAATTGATGAGAAGGTCGCAAATGGATGTTTGTTTAAAAAGCCTTGATAATTCTAAAGATGTACTACAAGAATTCTTAAAAGAAGTATGTATAATAAAGTTTATTATCATTATTTAGGGTTGTTAATAGAGCCAGAGCAGCTCTGAAGTGAGCCCAACCCAAGTTGGAGTGAGTTAATGATATGCTGGAGAGAAACTGGAGTGAACTGGAGCAACTTTAAGCAAATCTGGAGCGGCCCGGAGTGAGCCCAACCCAATTTAGAGTGGGTTGAGGAATAGTTCAACCCAACCTATTAACAACCCTATCATTATTATATCGTTATTATTATTTATTCTAATTATTATTTAGGTTGAAAATCAACATAGACATGGGGGCGATTGTGCAATTCATATTTATGGCATAACTAAGAACCCAAATGACCATAATTATATGATGGTTATGGAGTATGCAAAGTATGGAAGTCTCCGAAAATTATTAGATGGCAAATATATCGAATTAGATTGGAGGTCTAAAATACATACATTGTGGTACATAGCTAGTGGGCTTATGTCAATTCACGAAGCCGCATTAGTGCATAAAGATTTTCATTCAGGAAATATAGTTAAAGGAAGTATGATTAATTCTTATATTACTGATTTTGGCTTATGCAAACCAGTGTCTCAGAAATCAAATTCTGAAGGGATTTTCGGTGTGCTTCCTTATATTGCTCCAGAGGTGTTATATGGAGAAGAATATACTCAAAAATCGGATATTTATTCTTTTGGAATAATCATGTCAGAAGTTTTTACTGGATATCCTCCGTATCATGATATTCCACATGATAAGAATCTAGCAATTAAAATTTGTTTAGTTATAGGTCTGAAATTAGATGCGCAGTTCCCAGGCTACTTTTGGATTTGATGAATAAATGTTTAGACGCTGAACCTCAAAACCAACCAATCGATAAAGAATTAAATAATGCATTTTGTAATTTTGAAACTGATATACAAAACAACAAAACTGAATTATACAAACAAGCTGAGGAAGATAAAAATTTAACTAAGAATACTTCAATATTTGATCAAGCAAAATCAACACGAATCAATTATCGGACACACAAACAAGCTATTTATACAAGTCGACTTTTAAATTTTCAAGATCTTCCTAAACCAGGTAATAAATAATATTTGGGCTGCCTCCCATAGAAACAGGCAGACTAATCTTTAAAAAATTTTGTATCTTGACTTCCACAGATCATATTTTGTACAGCTAGATTAATAATTAAATAGCCAAAAGAGATCAAAATATTTAAATTTTCTTTGGCCATTAAATTGTTGAGATATGAGAACTGCCAAGAGAAAACCTATAAATCATTTTTTGAATGTTTATTTTTAATAAAAATGCCTTTAAACCAAGCAAATTAACAAGTAATATTAATATTTTAGAATCAATTAAATCGCCACAATGAAAGATTCGAAAATATCAAAATCTTAAGTTTCCAATTGCTGAATTTTGAGATATGTTATTAAAAGAAACGATTTACAGCTTTTCCTAGGCATCACTCATATAATCTATGAAAGTTAAGATATTAATTTTTTTAAAGGCTAGTCTTTATGTTTATATTGACAGTAGCCTATTTTGTTAAAATTTTTAAAAATTATTAATAATAAAATTTCTGAATTTTGTAAATATAGTAAATGCAGGTAATAATATTGTTTATCTTCTCAAATTGGATTTATACTATATTTAAATATATTTATTTTTTTTAGTAAGTAGACCTATTGATTATGTTGAAATTCTTGATGATGAAATCTCAATACAATAAATTTACGTGAATCAGTAAAATGTTTGAAATTGGAAACATAAAACCAAAGATAACGAGATTTTTCACTTACGAAAATGTTTACAAGTACTTTTACATATGAAATGGGATCTTTTTTTCGGTTAAGAATAAAAAGAAAAGGTTATATGACGAATTTGTCCTCATGAAAGCACTTAAAGCATATTAAAAGGAACTTAAGAAATATAAGCTAGATAAAATTTTTACATATTACATGACTATTGGCAATTTGGATCGTTGTGAATAGACGATGGGTAAGCTAATATCTAATCAGGCCATATCCAAATCTCAATACCAAATATAATAAAATTGAGAATTGGAATTGGGACGAACACCGTAAAATGTCATACGATAGATCCTCCTATGAGTTGTACCCGGGGGTATTATGCGGATAAGAATTCTATTTATATCCGCATGCTATTCATATTATATATATAACAATAGCATCTTTACACTTCGAAGAATATCTAGCTGGTGTAAAACATTGAAGACTGATAAAGTTGAATGAGAAACGTACAGCGGGTATATCTCTAATCTTTGTAAATATCCGGATACATCAGTTGGCACTTTACGGTAGTTTTGCGACAAGTATAGTTTTGAGAGGATATTCTTACACCAACAATCTATTTGACCTTTAAATTTATATTTTTGATTACTTTATCGACTAAATGGTGTTTTAAATATGCAACTGATTATATTTTTCAAATATTATTTTTCCTTGGCGGTCTCATATAATTTGACAACGTTTCTCCAAGAGCATAGGTTAATTTTTAGTAATAAATAGGTCGACATTACTTAAATTTACTTTATCACTGATTATAATTTCGCTATATGATACGAAGTTTTAAATATATAGTCGTGCGTAAACATAAAAAAAAAAAAAAAAAGAAAAAACTTATTTTTTAATATAAGCTACATTTCAATCTGTTGAATAATGACAATATTTAAAGCATTTTTTGCTGAACTAATTTAATCTTTGACATTCTAATATGGATCTCTTGCAATATAGGTGATGCCTATTCTAAATCAATTGATTAATTATACTTTTTATTAATAGTCTCACCTATACTGCAAGAGATCCTCTAATATTTACATACATAACAAAGAATAATATATATAATTTTTAGATTAAGGGTGTTCTCAAGTGCCTTAGTCAATCGATCGGAATAGGTCGGGGGCAAATTTTAATTAATAAAAAATTGGGTTTCCGAATCAATTGTATTTATTATTCCAATG